ACAAGGAACCCATCGAAAACGGTGTACCAGCCCTCGTCATCCGCAGCGAGGTCCTGACAGCTTTCCCAGGCTTGCCTGACTTATTGCAAGATGCAGCCAATGATGCTCATGAGGCAATCGGGAGACAGACGAAGGTGGCGACACTTCTCCAGATCTACAAGCAGTCGCGCGCGAACCAGATGAAGTCGCAGACGGCGAATTGGACTCAGATCGCAAACAAGATCGAGCGATCCAAGGGCCACTTGAAGGGCCAGGTCGCTGACATGTGTGCGTTTGTGCAGAACTACGGCGGTGCCGACGGCGAGTGCATCCACGACTTGTGCGATTACGCAACGACTATCGGGGAGCAACACCGTGACATCGCAGGCGTCACCTTTGGCGTCATGTCCAAGCTTTGCTTCCAGCAGGGGCCTCGGTTTGTGATTGCACTGGCAAAGGCATGCCTCGTCGCCCCCGCGGGCAAGGATCCCACCGCCAAGCTGTTCACCTCGACCGATTTGGCCTCGCTCGGACAGACGGGCAGCCCCCTTCGCGTCGCAGCCATCGAGCTCCAGACAACCTCCGAGGCGCTCAGGAAGTTCTTGCAGGCCGTGCCCAATATGGAGAAGGGGCACATGGCGAAGTACATTGGGGATCTCGAGGTGAGGATGGTGCTGCTCGCCTTGAAAAAGGTTCCAAGGGTGAACAGAGCTGCACCCTTCAAAACAACTGAAGACATCGCCAAGCTGTTCTTCGATGAGGTCCTGGCCACTTACGACTACTCCGAGGAGATCGCGATGCCGTACATGCCATCGGGACTGATCACGTCTGCAGAGTCTCCTTCATCGAAGGCGGACTCGTCTTCTTCACCGTTTGCGGACTCATCTCCTCTCTACAACAAGATGCTCCTGAAGAACGGGTCCCAGAAGGGCGTCATCATCAAGACTATGACTGGTGACCACAACGACCATTACATCTTCAAAGACACCTCGGACGGCAATGTCACAATCGAGCTCGCGACCAAGTGCGACGAGCCTACCGGGCGCCTCTCCGAGAAGAAGGCTGCGACGACCACCGTGCTGCCCTTCAAGATGGTGATCGATGACTATCAGGTCGCTAGCCCTGCAAAAAAACATCCTGCCCGTCCTCCTCCCTCCTCCTCCTCCTCCTCCTCCTCCTCGCTCCTCCTCCTCTTCCTCTCCCTCCTCCTCCTCCTCCTCCTGCTCCTGCTCACCCCCGCCCTCCCCCACCTCCTCCTCCTCCTTCCCCCCCTCCTCCTTCGCGCGCGCGGTGCGTTCCCCCCCAGGTTGCGCCCACGTCGGACGAGGTGGGGGTGCTCGTGGACGAGACTTTCGACGGGCTCGACCACGACGAGGTGGCGACTGAGCTGCTGAAGGCTCAGGCCACGTCGGCCATCGAACCCGATGCCCTCCCACCGCCCCGCTCTGGGATATGCGAGGGGGGATGGAGGGGGAGGGGGAGGAGGAGGAGGAGGGGAGGAGGAGGAGGAGGACGAGGATCGGGGGCAGAACGCACCACCTGTGGAAAATCAATGTTTTTGTTTGTGGGCGGTGCAACAACAGAAAACGGCCACTGGACCTCCTGGGCCCCTCCTGGACACCGCCCTGATCAGGAATCCGAGCCGAGTCCAGCCCAGCATAAATCATCGTCCGAGGTCACCCCCCAGCCCTGAATAAATCTTCGTCCGGGGCTTTGGTGTGGGTTCAAACGAGTTTGGGAGCCAAAACGCAAGCCCATCGCCCCGTCGCCGCCCGTCCTGTCGTCGGCCCCCCAGGTGCGGATGGCAGTGTGCACGGCCTACAAGTCCTACCAGAAGGACATCAAGGTTGAGATCACCGTCAAAAAGGGGAGCAAGGGGGTAGTGGCCTCTAAGGACTACCCCAAGGGGGCCCTGCGTCTGGTACCCCTGACGCCCAACCTAGGGTGCGGCACAAAAATCCCCTCGTCTGCCATTGACGTTCCTTGGGCGCGCCCGAAGCACAACCCCTCGCTGCGCATCTACTTGAGCCCCAAGCTGGAGCCAGCCCCGAACAAGTTCAAAGTCCCCCTCTGGTACGTTGCTGGTAGCCCAGACAGCGACGTATGCAACGTGGTTTGGTCTCATGATGTGGTGGTTCTCACAGACTCGATTGGTGCGACCCCGAGCTCGGCTGAGTACAAGGTCCCCGTTCTGGTGAATCGCAAAGCGATCGCCGCTGGCTTCGAGCTGATTTACAAAGTAGCAGATCCCAATGCCAATAAGAGGGTCACTGGCTCGAGCCCCCGATCGGGCAAGAGAGCCAAGCAGCACTAGGTAATCGCCGCTCTTTAGTTCTGGTGGCCTGATGAAGGCTTACACGGGGGATGGGGGGATATGTCACAGGGGCGATGAGGGGGGGGGGGCGGTAAGGGTCCGCAGGCGCGATCCAGAGTGAGTTTACAGGAATCGCTGCGGAGCCATTTACAGTGGTTAGCAGCGCGTCCGAGCCAAGGTCAGCTCGGGACTAGTAGCGAGAGGAAAAGTGTAGGTGAAAACGAAAACAACAACACAACGACTGCCCTCCTCCTCCTCCTCCTCCTTCTCCTCCTCCTCTCGCCTTCTTACTCGTCATCCTCGCCGTCTCGCATCATTTACACAACAGTGTGAGCAAAGGTGGCGCGTGCGCCTCCTCCTCCTCCTCCTCCTCCTCCTCCTCCCCCCCCCCCCCCCCTCCTCTCTCCTCCTCTCCTCATCCTCCCCCCCCCAGAGGACAAGAGAGCCAAGCAGCGCTAGGTGATCTCAGCTCTTTAGTTCTGGTGGCCTGATGAGGACTTACGCGGGGGATGGTAAGATATGTCAGAGGGGCGATAAGGGTATGGGTCCGCAGGCGCGATCCAGAGTGAGCTTTCAGGAATAGCTGCGGATCCAGGTGCAGTGGTTAGCGGCGCGTCCGAGTCGTTAGGGTCAGCTCGGGGCTAGTAGCGAGGGGACAAGTGTTGGTGAACACGAAAAGACCATCAAACCGACTGCCCTCCTCCTCCTCCTCCCCCTCCCCCTTGCTCCTTGCCTCCCTCCTCCTCCCCGCCTCCTCCTCCTCCTCCCCCTCCTCCTCCGCCTCCTCTCCTTCCTCCTCCTCCCTCCTCCTCATCCTCCTCCTCCTCGTCCTCCTCCTCCTCTCCTCCTCCTCCTCCTCCTCCTCCCCCTCCTCCTGTCACCTTCTTACTCGTCATCATGGCCGTCTCGCCCCATTTAAACAGCAGTGTGAGCAACGGTGACGCATGCGCATCCTTTCCCCCCTCCTCCTCCGCGCCTCCTCCTCCTCCCCCCCCCATTGCAGCTGGTCCCAGCCCCGAGCTATGCGCCGCGAAACCAAGTAAAGTGGCCTTGGATGCGTAGCTCATTTTGGCTCAAGTGGCGTCGGGCTCTAATTGCGCTAGACCCCCCCTTGGCTGCTCAACAGTTCGGCAGCAATGGCGACGATTGACATGGGGCTCGTTTCGGTCTGGCTGGGGAGCGTTGACCCAAACATCGCTACGCACTGGGTCACCAAACCGACCGAGGTCAACTGCGAGCTGTTCGTGGAGTGCAACAAGCAGGACCCAAGGTTCATCAAGATGCTGTCGAAAAGGTTCGAGATGGTCGATGCCATAGCGTCGGCGAGGAACGCTGCCGTGGATGGCCTCATGAAGGAGGCCCAAGCTAAGGGGCAGGAGGTTCACCTCGCCGAGCAGGGGCCCCTCGTCAAGCGCCCTCGCAAGGAGGTATTCGACGAGATTGCGAGGACAGTTGGCCTCGATATGGAGATCGAGGGCGGCGAGACCGAAGACGTCAGAGTACTCACCAGCGTCAACGGCAGAGACAAGCTGTGGATCAAACTCGAGTCGGTGGCCATCCTCGGCAAGGCCCCCAAGGCCGCGGCCCACGACCATTGGGAGCCGACGGTATCGCAGCCCCACGTGAAGTGGTCTCGTGCAAGGCACGCCCTCATGACCTCATACTTTAGCAAGGAGAAGAGCAAGACAGTCCACGCAGTCAGGTCCATCCAGAGAACCGAGTCCAAGGACGAGCTCCAGAACAAGGTGGACATCGTTGCTCAGCAGTTGCAGGAGCTTCGCAATCACGAGACACAGGAGTGAGAGGGGGCTGCGCGCGTGGTGCGTGGTCCGTGACTCGGCTTGGCGCCGAGTGTTGCTTTGCAGCTGTCTTTAGAAGTTTACAATAATGCGAGATGGTGCAATGACATGGGGCGCTGGCCACCTCGCCGAGCAGTGCGCGCGTCTTGTGCGGGGCGGGATTGCCCGCGCAGCTCCGATGCATCTAGAGCAGTGGAGCGGGAGTTACACGCGCGCGACTGGCGGTGAAAAACAACAAAACAACAGGGTGAGCCAAACAAAACACAAGGCCGCTGGAGCTCAGATCAGACGCTGGTGAGCCTCCGTGCGAGGACGTTTGGGAGCGCCCCCCCCCCCCCGAGACTCCGGAGGCCCTGAAAAGTTCGAGTTGCTAGGTAGAGGTTCGAACTTTTGTTCCAGTTGCTAGGTAGAGATGCGAACTTTTGTTCCAGTTGCTAGGTGGAGGTTCGAACTTTCAGCAATATTAGATTGTTAAGGAAGTCGTATCATAGAAAGTTCCAGTTGCTAGGTAGAGGTTCGAACTAAAGTTCCAGTTGCTAGGTTCCAGTTGCTAGGTGGAGGTTCGAACTTTTGGGCTCGATTGGATGTCGTCAGCCCCCGCCGATGATAATCGCGCTTCGCGCCTCCCGATATGGGCTGGAAAGCTGCACTCCTCGGGGGGGGGGGGGGTTCGCGAGGGCGCGAAGACAACAACGCGACGTCCGGCGTCCTAGATGCCCTACTGACCCTCGCTGGCATCGGCGTACACGACGTCGACATAGACGTCGTTTCACCACCCATGCTGCTCATGCTGATGCTGACCGTAGCTGTTTTGGCTCGTTTCAGCCCCTCGGCCCTGAGTCTGACCTGTGCCCAACTGTCCTGTCGCAAGAATGGCAGTCGATCCCATGGTGGACCGCCTGATCAGC